AATTCAATTTTATTTGTATAGCGCCAATTCATAACAGAAGTTATCTCAGGACACTTTTCAAATAGAGCAGGTCTAGACCGAACTCCTTATAACATTTACAGAGACCCAACAGTACCACCATGAGCCATTGATAAATGCTAACGTCTTTCAAAGCCTCTCTATCTAACTCTATCCACTGATGAAGACAGTAAGATGAGCTTGAACGTTCTGGAAACAGCTAGTAGCACCTGAGTTTATGTTTTCCTTTTCTGCTACTGTAATGTATACCACAAAGTAATGTCCTACTGTAAAGTCAGCTATAATTAAGATGTATGTCATGTTCAGTGTAAACTCTGTAAGTGGGCGGCACTAAGCCCAAATGCAACAGGTGCCCTTGAAAAATAGTATTAGGGGAACTTGTTTTTCCTTAAAATTCCCCACAAAGCAAAAGGTAGTTTGTTTGTCTGTGCCATTAGCGACCAGCTAAGGGCTAGTGTAACCTACTGTTTTCAGCGTGTAAGTTGCAATCTCGGAGGATGTTGTTGTTGTTTACCATAGCAAAGAGGATTTTGAGAACGGAAACTCACAGATGCTAGAAGGGGAGGAGAATGCTGTGTGAAATGCATGGCCAATGGCAAGTTTATACCCACAGGCTGCATCCGGTGTGTCAGACAATACAATAATTACCCGGAGGCCACCTGTAAAAACATTATTCCATTCATTAGAACTGTCAGTTTTGCACAGTTTAACATGAAAATTGAGATACATTAGCTGTCAGCTAACAGTTCCATAAACGGTGACATGATTAGTTAGCCCATTTGCCCATTTAGTTTAAAGTTTAAGTCTGTCGTGACCTAGCAAATATAACAATTGTATCTATTTGGTTTTTAAGTTTGAGTCTTTCTTTAAATCCAATGTAAATCCTTTAAAATCATGATTTGCCAAAGGATTTTGTTTTGCAAATAGTGCTCGCCATGACTAGTAAAATGGCTGTTTTGTTAAAATATGTGGGGTTTCCCTTTGAATAAAGTAAGTATCTGTTGTTGATCATGACTGTGCAAACGTGATCATATGAACACATAATTATATTCACTCATCTTTTCTTCTTCTTCAAATAACCTAATAACTTTCATTAGTTTAAATGTATTACTTTGTTTTGACAAAAAAAAAAAAAACTAGCTACTTTCTAGCTTTTTCCGGAGCTTTCAACTGCATCTCCTCAGCAGATCGATTTTGTTGATATCTGTGACAACAGAGCAAACTCTATCCACTGATGAAGACATTGAGATGCGCTTGAACATTCTGGAAACAGCTAAGTAGCCCCTGAGTTTATTTTTTCCTTTTCTGCTACTGTAATGTATACCACAAAGTAATGTCCTACTGTAAAGTCAGCTATAATTAAGATGGATGTCATGCTCAGTGTAAACTCTGTAAGCTACACCAATACTTAGACAGCATGTCATGCTGTTTGGCTTTATTTGTGATTGTTTAATAGTGTAATCGATAGTCTTGTCCCATTTATCAGAGTATAGAGCGATACCTTACTTGCTGTTTGACTGAGAATGAAACATAAGTTTAGGAAAATAGAACCATATGGCCTAAGGACCTGCCAAAAGTGGCACTCGTGATAAATGTGCTCCACATCAGACACACAGCACTCTCGACTTTGAAAAGCAGAGCAGATGCTTTGAAATCGAAAGAAATCTTAACCCTTAACAACCTCATCATACTCTATGGGAGCTATAAGAGGCCCTGCTCGCTAATTTCTCCCAGATGCTTTGACCAACAGTAGCAGTCTGCATCATTGTGTAATCTGTGGGAACAATTCAGCATCAGGCCTCATTATCTTCGTTTGTTGAACATGTGTTAGATTATGGATTTAGTCTGGAATACAGAGAGAATCTTGTGCAAAAAGGACAAGATGAATCAACTTGGCATTATAAGAGCTGTTTCAGTGAGCTCGATTCAGAGTTTGATGTTCCAACACTTCTGTTCCCAGTTGATGAATAAAACAGAGAGAAAATCTCTCATCCGTCAGATCAAACTGGAGATGACTTCTGACATTTTCTTTGCAACCAAACAACTCCTGTCTTTCCAAGGGCCAATGTGGCAGACAGATGAATGTGAGGCAATGCTATGGAGGATCAGTGATTGAGGGACACATGTGCAACCCAGGCTCAGAAATCTTGTTTGACCCCAACAGCAGGCCATCGAGGACCTGCAGAGCGAAGAGGAGAAGGTGAACCTGCTGACCAAAGAGAAAACCAAGTTACAGATGCAAGCTGAAGATGTAAGTTCATATTCTGTATATTTACTATGTTGTTCATACCATATAAATATGTATTTTTCTATTTTTACCTTTAATGTAGTATCTAAGCCAGTTTAGTCAGTATATTTCATATTTTTGGGAGTATCATTTAATTTGACACTTTCACATTAGGAATTCCATATGCTTAAGTTGTATTATGCCACTAAACTCAGCTCAACCTCATTTAACTCAATTTAAAGCTGCACTTATCAATATTTCAATGGATCATGTGCCTCCCAGTGTTCCAGCCACAGAGAATTGACACCTAAAGCTAGAGTTGCTCTCAGCTCTGCGTTCTAGCGTCTTTCAGCTCATTGTTTTGATTTTACAGCCTGTACCTTTACTGTTTTGGTACAATCAGACTGCTCTTATACACCTTGTTTCCAGCCACAGCACACAGCATTTTTTAGCAAAAAAGGTTCTGATAAGTTAGCGACAAGCCGGTGAACATAATGGGAGATTGAGCATTTAAACTGGATGTAGCATTTTGATCAAAATAAATGCTCAGGTTGCTCCATGTCTGCTTGTTGTGCAAATAGGCAGCTGTCTGCCAATGTGAATCTATAAGGTGATTTTCTTCAGCTTGCTGTGCTGCTCCCAACTGGCAATGTTGCAAAAAAAAAAGGCAGGGTGATTTTGTTGATAACTTTGAAAGTTGTCTTTGACATGCTAAAATGTATCGTAACAGGTCTTGTGGGCGTTCGTGGCTCGGAAGGTAGAGTGGGTCATCCACTAATCAGAAGGCTGGTGGTACGGTAGCATACATTTGGTTTATTTTTTTTATTGAAAACAGCTGCCTGTTGTTTATTTACTGTAGCAAAAACTGCACAGTTGATCCGAAGTGCTCAACTGCAAAGAGACAAGGAAAAAACTGACAATAAAAAAGTTCTTATAGTGTATTGTTTACTCTATGAATTCTACAATAAATAAGAAATTGCTTAAAGTTATCATATCAGATATCATATCATATAGACTGACTGGACCAATATAGTTCTTTAACCTTTGCATCCAACAGAAGCACACATGCTGCATACATTAAACACTGTAGTAATATTAAGGTCATGAACTGACTATTTGACAGTAATATGAGCAATGGAAACTTAAGGTTATTTGACTTAATTGTAACCCTGTTAGCCAATAGGCCTTGGCAAATGTGGGGAAATACTGAATACATGTAATTTTATATATAAAAATCGTCAAATGTAATAAATGGTCAATATAAAAGATATTGATTACTGGCACAAAATGGCAGTTGTAGTTAATAAACTATTGGCTTCAAAAACACTGCTGAACTCTTCAACTAGACCTTTTACAGTTGGATTACATTGTGATCAATGTATTTTATGTTTTGTCCCTGCTGCTTTGTTGTTTGTGCTCAGCTCGAATACCGACTGGAGCAGGAGCGCCGTCAACGTAGTGAGCTTGAGAAGAGCAGGAGGAAACTGGAGGGTGATAGCAGATCCACACAAGACAGTCTGGGAGAGATGGAGAAGAACAGAAGCGGGCTGGAAGACCTCATCAAAAGGTCAAAGACATGCACAATAGTCTCATATATTTTGTGTGTTGTTATCACCTCACACATCCAGCCAAACTATTTCGGCCTACCCAGCAAAAAAATTTCCTGAAGCCGAAATTAAACTCTGGTTTTGGTCAATGTTAAATCTATTTTTAGCTGGCAACATGGCTCTAGGGATGGAAATGTTTGTCTATTGGTTTTTCCACCACTTTAATGCAGACTGAAATGTCTTCAAGGTCAGGTGTGTAGGATTTAGTGGCATCTAGGTGGTGTAGTTGCAGACTGCAACTCCCTCACTTCAGCCTCACATTGTGTGTCACAAGTATGTATCTGGAACCAGTGTTCGGTTTGTCTGTTCTGGGCTACTGTATAAACATGGCGGTTCAATGTGGTGGACTCCATGGGCGGCAACTTGCAGCATTTACTTTTGGCTCATTTGAAGGTAACAAAAGACAATGATTCTTATTTTTCACTAATGAAAACATACCTATGAATATAAATTCTATTTCTGCCAATAATCCTCCCTAAATGTTACACCAGTCTGACCATTTAAAGCTCCTACAAGGAACTTTCATTTTGTGTTGATTCTGGCAGCCACTGTGAACAAAAGCCATATTGTTTCTAGCACCTTGTTTCATTGATTTCAAGGGGAATCCAATCTTCTGGCAGGTATTAAGAATAACTACATAGAAACAGCCAATCTTCTCACTGATGGTCTTGTTTGTTTATGTAGTTTAGACAGAGGCATCAATATTAAATTCTGTTGTGCCCAGAGCTGCTAGCACAACTGTGGAGTCTTGTTTTCTCCCTTTTATCTTTGATATTCTTTCCTATTAAATGATAACAGACAGGTTTTGTAAACTTGAGCATGCTGTGTACATTTTACTGAGCCACATTACAGGATTTCTTTCTTTTCTGTTTTTGAAGTGCAGATCATCATTATTCTGCGGAATTCTCTATGACTTGTCATCAGTCATAAAGTAGTAAAAAAAAAAGATGAGTAAATCATACCTTCCAGTCAGTGATCATAAGGGAAAAACACATACATAAACATAAACATTGACATTTTCAGAAAGTATGCATTTATGTCAACTATGGTATAGGCTTTATAGTTACCTCATAAACATTTATATCAGCCAAGAAGAACTCTATACTGGAACTCATGGATGTGACAGCAGGTCATACCCACAGCCATCTATCAATGTTCCCTGAAATGAGAGCTGCTGTGATCAAATCCATCAACCCCAGGAAAGAGAGAGAAACTGATGGACTTAATATGTAATATACCTGCTCCACAGTCCAGTTTCTCCTCTCCACTTTGAGGTGGGATTCACTAACATCCCAACATGTAGCTATCTGCCCTCAGTAATGTGAGAGCAGATGGAATCTTTCACTGTAGTTTACCTTGCAGCAACAATTGACTGAAGACAAGAAGCAACAGTCAGAAAACATGCACACATAGATAGTGTATGCACCGATCACTGAACACTAATATCTCTGTTATGAAGTCAAAACTTGTTCTCTTTGGCGTCAATAATTGCCTGACCCTCTTTCACTGCGAACATTAATAAAGTGAGTGACTCACCTGGTTGCTAAGGTGCTGTGTTTTCCAAACAGAAAGAATATAAAATCTGTCAATCACTTTGACTCTAAACTCAATGAAGCTTTACTGAAAAAGAACAAATGCATGCACGACATTATCCTGCATGTCTTGCTTTAGCACATAAATGTGATTTTTTTGTGTGAAAAAGTGAGAACATAAGATTATCATTGTGACACCACCACTTCTCACGCACTATTTGCTAAACATTGACAAGCATTGTGGTAACAGACCTGTCATGTCTTCAAGACCAGGTTAGATGAAAAATGGCATTTTAACCCTTTAAGATTACATCCTCAGTTATACTGTACCCCTATTTAACAATTTATGCCAAAACTCAATTTCTTTGTATTTTTATATCAAAATCCGATGATCATCTGTAAAACAAAATGTGATGCAAGCTTACGTAAGCATGAACTAACCGATTACAACCAATAATAGCATGACATTCACTGTTGGATGCTGCATTCAGTCCCGTTCTTGCCGTGCTGTTCACTGGGAGCTCCCAGTCCCGGCAGAGTAAGCTACTGGGTCCACTACAGCTGCCGCACTGGGGAACTTAACACACAGAGCTACTGGCTACCACATCAAGTCCCTCCCTAGCTGCCTGTTTATGAAATATGTAAATGTGCGGATGCAAACATCACTCTGATTCCTGTATCACCTGGACTTTTAAATATTTATGTGATAGACTCTGACTTTCTGAATGGTGAAAAAGTCATCACTTTAACACAAAGACTGAGCCAGAAATGTATTCTATGTCTGCAAAGCTTTTCATTCTCCTGCCATTGTCCAGATGTGTGCCACAGGAAAGACTGTGTAATATACATCCATCTAGATTGTATCGTATGTAAAATCGGATTAAATCTAATATTGAACTATAAATCAAATTGCAATTTCTCCCTTGTGTCAAATATAAGTCAAGCTTAAGTACTTTTTTTCAAATCTAGCATATATTGGGCCAGTTGAACTGACTGATAGCATTCCAATTTGAACTTTTCTGGCATTTAAATGAATGCAGTGTTTAATATGTTTATTCTCTCTGAAGGAAGGACCTGGAGATCAGCAGCACTAGTTCCAAGCTAGAAGCAGAAGAGGCCGTCAACATTGGACTGCAGAGGAAGAACAAGGAGCTGCAGGTCAGACCCTTTTGTCTGTGTACACGTACAGTACAGTACAGGACAGTGGTACAGTTAAGGTTAGGGTAAAGTCTCCAGGCAAACAATATAAGTCAGTTTGTGGAAGCTTAAAGTGGTACAGTACTATCATTCAGTCAAGACTTTACTTAGGTTGCTCACCAAGTCACTGGTGTGAGGCACATGAGGCAGTCATCTTCTGTGTTATTTTTGGGGCTTAAGTAAGTGCAGTTCACCCACACAGACACTGTAAACTTTGTGTTGAATAATGTATTTGTTTATGAATGCTGAGTATACCAGTATCACCTCCACATAAATCTTTGACCCGTAGACTAGTTTACACCTGCACCAAACATTTGAACTGAACAGCCAACAATGTGTTAGTCCATCACTCATATTTTCTTTTTCTTTCCCCGTGTGTGCAACCTAAAGCCAATTGATTCCTACTAAGGTGTCAATTTTCAAAAAGAGGTCAAACATGCATAATTTCAGTTTTTAAAATTGCTCTGACATTTTTCTAAATCTGCTGGTTACTGTAGTCTTCAACAAACATTACTCAAACTGGAGGAATTAGTGCATTTGTTAGGGACTATTTTCAGCAGCAGATTATTACACGTTTGGTGTGCGAAGAAACATGTCAGCCAGTTCAACAGTGTGGCTCACTGATGTGTTTTTAAGTTTTTGGACAACAATGGTGCTCTATGGCACAGACGAAGAAGCTTTGGATGCACACGTAATCCTTGTTGGACTCATTGTTAGTTGAGGCTGTTTGTAGATCAGTGCACACAGTCCTTCCCTCTTTGGTTGATAGTCATCTTCCAGGCATCACGACTGGTATGTGGCTTCCATCTGCAGCCTCTAATTTGAGAGATGTGGTGAACATTTTCAAAGAACTGCGCAATTACATACGTCACATCCAATACGGGTATCTTGATGAAATCTGTTGCTCAATCTGCAGCTGGGTTTCAAGATGAATCCCTGCAAATCATCAGGAGCACTTATAGTTATGTTTTGAAGATGTATCAGACACATCAGTTCCATGGAAGAAGAACACAAAAAGCCACAGAAGTAACACATACAGTCACAATGAGAGAGTTTATTTTTCTTTGAAACACCTAAAAGAAAGCAGTAACTACTCAGTCATTATAATTTAATAATATTTGTTTGGAATGGCAACCGTGGTGTTGATTGGCACATGACAGGAGATTGGTTTCTTAAAAAGACAGGCAGGGAGCTCAGCTGTAGCTTATAGAAGAGTGCTGAGATGCATTCCTGCCTTTCAACAGAGCTGCTGGGTTCTGCTCTGTGATTGGAGCAGTCACTTCACAGCTCCATGCCTGTCAGGAGATGGTTAAAACACACCGCCTACATCCCAAGTGATAACCATCTCCTCGTCCCTCTGATGGTGTGACTAGGAGCAGTTGGGGGTAGCTGCACTTTTCTGTCTGCTTTTACAGTTTTTAAGAACATCTTCAGGCGTGTGGCTCTCAGTTTCTTTTTTCTAACATAAGTTTCTACCTCAAAAGAGTTGTTGGTGTCTGCTTTATATAACTGAAACAAATGGCACAGAGGGCATGTTTAGTGTGTTTCATTAATTCCACTATGAATTTGGTGATTGAGAGGGCAGCTGCCTTTTAATGGGGCACTCCATAAATTTAGTGTTGAAAATTGAAGCAGCAGAGACCAAGACCCTGATTTTTACATCCCAGTATGGATATTTCTATATTTCCAACTCAATAGTGACCTTGATTTTACCCTCCCTGACATAATCAGGGTTATGTTTTTCAAACTTGGAAAAGCTACTCAAAAGTCATAGAAAACTATTTTCACAAATTGTTCAGCACTCCTCGTGAGGAATAAACTAAACTAAAACTGATGGTTAAATATTAATTAATGTTAACTACACATGCAATACAAAGTCCTACTGGACAAAGTTTCTTATGGCAGAGAAAAGTCAAATCAATATATACAAATTTCTGTCACAAGCCGAAAAGCTGCAACCAGTGCATTTTTAGCAATTTTGAAAAATTACTTAAATAATTAATTGATAGTGAATATAGTTTATTAACCGTATTATCGTTATTCTGTCAATTAATTGACTGATCTTTGCAGCACTTGTTTGAAGCTCTTTTCAGACATTTTGGTTTAGCCATGCTAGCAACTTGGCTCCAGCTAGTTACTTGTAATTTGGTCAGCTGGTCCACCACCTTAGTCCAGACCAATGTATCTTGACTAGTGGATGGGTTACCATGAAACTGGGTATGATGTTTCCCAGACAGTGTATCCGAACAAATCGGATGATCCCCTGACTTTGCATCTTCTGCCATCACCAGGTCAAAGTTTAAGTTTGTACCAAATACATAATGACATTTCTATCAGCCTCAGGTGTACTATGTGTCTAGTGCCAGTTAGCAATAGTTAGCATAGCACACTAAGTGGAGATGATGAACATCTGCCTGCTGTACACTAGCATGTTAATCTTGTTGCATGTCATGTTAGCATGACTGCCACTACTATTTTATTAATGCATCAGTTGTACAACAAAATAAAGTGACCATTTGCAAGTGTAAGCTGATCATATTCTTGTTGTCCATCACCTTGTTAATGCATGTCTGATTACATCAGTCGTTGACATAAAGTCCAGAGTGGAAACCTTTATATGGCAGTAGTGTTTTGCTGACTGTGGAAGAATTGATTCAAGTCATTGTGATTTCATTTAATCCTGGAGCCCTAAACTTGATTTATGCTTGGTTTCTCTCAGAAGTATTTCTCTTATTGCATCTTATTTATGTGTTCATGACAGTTGTAGAAAGACATTAAATAAAGCCAAGTTAACCTATTCTGGCTGTTACAGATCCCTGTCACTCTCCGTTTGACTTGTCACAGCAGGACAAACACAGCTGCAGCTAGTAACATTGTCGATGGCTGTGTTCCATTGAGATGTTCCACTAAATCATGCCAGGGATACCAGGAACCTGTCAGTGAATAGCCTGAATGGATTGCAGCCGTTATTAATGGTGTCAGTTACACCGGTGTTTCACAAGTAAACTGTCATGGTGTCTATTTCACTCATGGACAGTTTTATGTAGGTGGATCATCAAGAGATTATTTATGTGCTTCTGTCAAACTTGTTTAAAGACGTAAAGTCACAGCAACAAACTAATTTAATCAGTGCAATAGTCGAGCTCTCAGTCGACATTTTGTTCAACATTACAGAACAATTATGCCCTGTGGGAGCTTTTTCAGTCAAAATTTAATAATCTTTTGTGGAGATCAGCTGTAAACAAGCCAAGCATACATCAAGCTTTACTATGAACCACCTCAACTGTTGAGTGCTGACTAACCACAATGCTGGTGAGAACAGCATTGCTGCGGGTTCCCTTCCATGGTGTCCTGTTTCTACAGTAGCCCAGAACAGACAAAATCAAACATTGCTCTAGATAGGGTCTTTCAGGTTTCTTGCAAGTCTCACAGCCACCATAGTTTCTCCTACACAGTTCACAGCCTGTTCTCATTCCTAGGTGGTCAAATACAGATGCGAGGGATGTTCAGTTAGTTGCAATCTGCAACTTCTCCGCTAGATGCCACTAAATCCTTTCATATCATTATGTTATCTTGTTGTGCCCTCTTTTTCTGTAATTTAATGGCACCTGACCTGTTTATCTCGACAAACTAACTCTAATTTGCACAATGGTTGTGTGTGTGCTACATTTGGAGTTAGTCAGCTAACTGTTTGCCCAACCACCCTTAGCTGCTGTTTTTACATCTGTCAGGCTCTGCGGCACACATGCTGTTTACAATAACAATTTAATACTTCACATTTTTTTAAACAATAGGTCCTTGATTTGATGTTAATTCTGTCATCCAACAGTAACTCTGTGTATTGATTAAAATATTTCCAGCTGACTTTTGTTTGCAGCTGTACTGCAGCTAACTTAGCATATAAAAGACAGAGAACAGCAATATTTTTGAATTGCAAGGTAGAAGTACATGAGTAAGGGCTATGAGGATGTACCATTGTGTAACAAAAGTATCTCAAGCTAATTTCACCAAATCAAGTACAGAACAGGACAGTGCAGCTAACTTTAACTCTGGAATAGTAGCACATGGGACTAGTGTTACACTTTTTTCGCAGTGGATGTAGTTTTTTTTATTTAACCTGATAAAATAATGTAGTAAGCTAATTATATGCTAACTATTTGCATTGGAAGTAGCAACACTAGGTTACTGTGGGTGGTAAGCTAGTTAGCGTTAGCAGCTCACTTTAGAGTAAGAGCACTATTCCTTAGATACTTTTTGGTTTTGGAAAGATAAAAAAAGGAAAAAAAAAAACTGAGTATTACTCTCATTAGAAATGCCTCAACATGGGGAGAAAGCCAAAGACTGACGGAGCTATCAGTGACTGTGACTGCCATATTGACTAAAACCACTGTGGCCTTAACAGTGGAACAGAAGAGTGCCACCTAACTGAACCTCAAATCACAACAGAACTAAGGAAAAAGTCATTGCAGTAGTGGCCACACAGATTATAAGCAAGTCATTTTTGGTGTGTGCAGTGGAAAACCCCAGCAATGACCGCCCACCACCAAACATGTTGCCATTTAAAACACCATCTTCAGGATTACACTTTTGAAAGTCCTTGTAGCACATAATGATGGTATAATTACCATTAGGACAGCATTATTTGTTTGGATTAAATTGGTTTTAGTGCACTATTTACTCTAGTGTTTAGTCTGCCTCTGTACGTAGCCCTTGAAAGACTAAAGTTTATACTGAGGCTTTTCTGTGAATCTCACTGTGTCATCTAGATAGAATCAAGCGAGTCTGAGAACTTTTATCTGTGTCACTGGTGCATGTTGCAGATAATGTGTTTTGTCTGTGTCTGTCCCTTCGATGGAGCGAATTGGATGAAAAGCTGCTGAGAGAGGAAGAGAGAGTGAGCGAGAGACATTGGGGGACAGTGATTTAAAAGCTCAGGTGGTGCTTCTTCGCTCTGCCGGTGC